CAAAACATCTGGGGGACACCAGATATGGGGAAGCTGCTTAAGACAATGGCCAACTGCTGCCCAGAAAATAGTTGGGCTTGCAAACAACCTGGTCAGAGTTATATCTATGGTTTGCTAGTTCAGTCTCCAGGCCAAAGACTGGTGCTGGTTTGCATATTTGTTTCCTGACTTTCAGGAGTAAAGAAAGTGCTTTGTCCCTTTTACTATTAGTACTGAAACTTGTCTTTTTCTACCTGTAGAGCCCTATCCCCTAACTGTAAGAAACTGGGCCTGGTTTGCATTGTAGATGGTAGGACTCTTCCTTCCCATATATCAGGAATTGGCTTAACTAGGGTGAACCAGCTCACATCTGTGCAAGGAAAACTTTTACATGTTGATTCTTAAAAGCCAGATTTGAGGATGCAGATGCGTACTGTACTGGGCACTTTACAAACATACTTAAATTAGTTTTAATCCAGGGACTGACTTGCCTGGATTCTATCTGTGAGGGATTGCAGTGTTTCAGTAGCTCTAATTAGGAGGCCAAAAGTGATGTGTAAAACAATTTACAGAGAGATCAGCAGCAGCCTAGTTCTCATCAGCTGTATACACAACTGGTTTGCTGTACAGTATTTGTTTGTTATTATCCTGCCTTTCCACCAGATGGTGCCCAGGCAGTCTCCTTGTTGCTGATGGCTGCCCTTTGCTCGCATACTTTGCTGTTAGCAACATAGGAACATAGGAACATATTTAGTCAGGCAATTGGTCCATCAAGTACAATACTGCCTACACTGCCTGGCAACAGCTCTCCGTGGTTTCAGGCAGGGACAGGACTACCTGGAAATATCTGGGAGCTTCTGCATGCAATACTTTCCTACTAAGCTACAAACCTTCATGTTGTTTGATATTTTATGGAAGATCACATTTTGTCCAATGCATCGCTGAACATGTGACCTTGGACTTCTTCTTGGCATAAATGGAAAAAGTTCTTCTGAAGCTCTTCTGCTAAGAGGACTGCCATTTTTTAATTTATTTATTTTTGCTTGCTCTGACCTGGCCTAACCGTCAGTCTTGGGACTAATCCAGATCTTAACCTGAGCAAAATTATTTTCTTTCTGATTGAGAATGCTCTTTCCTGATCTTGGATTGGTGCTCGATCCAATACCTAGGATCCTATGGACTCTTGGTCCAGAGCCTGCACACCTGTCCCAAAACAGGTCCATTCTTGTGAATTGCTCTTTGATGTTAGGCACAAATCACACTTTGCAGGGCAAATGGTTTGTTGTCCCCAGTGAACACTTGGGATGCTTGAAGAGGAGGAATGGTGTCTGTAAACATGCAGTTGACATTCACCATGGCCAAACCATAACTTTTGCATTTGTGTGTCCCTGTGTGCTTATTATAGCCACATGCCCCCACTGTTAAATAAATGTTCTCAATAGGACCTTCATAAACATGGACTTTGGTCTCCATTTTAATTTTGTTTTCTGGGATTCATCCAGACAGTTCCTCACTTAGCATGGTCCTCAACGATCTACTTTATTACTAGGTAGCATGCTGTTTTTGCAAAATCTCTCCCAGCTTTCTTTGATGCTGCTGCTTGCAACAGCAATATGCCCAGTGAGGACACCCCACACAGATAAAATGCAGAGATTTGTAGGCAGTTGAGAGCCTTTCCTGCTTGATCTACAATCTAGATGAACCAATACTGAGTGGTAAAAGATGAAGCCTTGTGTTGTACATACTAACACACTTGTATGCATAGGCAGGCCTTTTGTTGGGGGGGGGAGGGAGAACCTCAGTTTGCTGTGTATTTTTATTGATTTTTATTAATTTAGTGGGGGTAGCTGCCCCCCCCTGGCTATGCCCATGTGCATAGGTGACAGAAAACACTATAGAATTAACTGTTGCCTTGATGGGTGGGTTTTAGGTCAGAGTATCTAAATAATGCATTATCCCAGAGTAAAAAAATAAAATAAAATTGGGACTCTCTAAATTATTGACCTACTTCCTGTTGAAGACACAGACCCCTCATTTCTTTCTCCCTCCACCCTGCCTTAGATTTTACCACTCTTTTCTCTCTTTCTTCCTTTGAAGGTTGATTTGAGCCTAGTAGCTTTGATGGTTGTTTATGTGGGTAACTTCTAAAAATGAAAGATTGGGATGGTGTTCAGCTAAGTTTTAGTCTGAGTGGACCCACTGAAATTTCAGTGGGTTTACGCTGAGTAAAACTCAATTCAACATCAGTAAGAGCCAGTGATTGGGGGAATGATTTGGTGCAATGCATTATTTTGTGTCAAAATCGGGAAACAGTTAATAACATCAACCTGCATGATACATTTCAGAAAAACTGGTTCGCCAAAGGCTGAAGCTAGCAAAAAGCATGATTTCAAAAGAGAATTGAGATGCAAGAGAAAAATAAGGCACTTTTTCATACATGTTTTTACATAATCATGTACACGTGGATACAAAAAGCTAAGGTACCGTATTTTTCGCCCTATAGGACGCACTTTTTCCCCTCCAAAAATGAAGGGGAAATGTGTGTGCGTCCTATGGGGCGAATGCAGGCTTTCGCTGAAGCCTGGAGAGCAAGAGGGGTCGGTGCGCACCGACCCCTCTCGCTCTCCAGGCGTCAGGAAGCTCTGTGCAACCCTCGGGAGACCGGCGCCACTTCGCGCCCGCCTCCCAATGGCTGCGCAGAGCTGCCTGCTGTCCGGGCGGCGCAGCTCTGCGCAGCCATCCAGAGCCGGGCACGAGTCGCGCCCGCCTCCCGATGGCTGCGCAGAGCTGCGCTCGCCCCGGGACAGCAGGCAGCTCTGCGCAGCCATCGGGAGCAGGGAGCAAAGTCACGCCCGCCTCCCGATGGCTGCGCAGAGCTGCCTGCATTCCGAAGCCTGGGGAGACTGGCGCGACTTACCGTTGGCCTCCCTAGGCTTGCGGATAGCAGGCTGTTCTCGCGGCTGGGATTGGGGGAAGCTCAGGTTTCCCCCGTGCCAGCCCCGCGCTTGGGGGGGGGATAATTTTTTTTCTTTATTCCCCCCCCCCCAGAAAACTAGGTGCGTCCTATGGGGCGGTGCATCCTATGGAGCGAAAAATACGGTAACTTGATCTCACTTTTAAAAGTAACTGAACTTCATCATTTCAGTCAAGATGAAGAGTAGACTTCCTTTTTTACACACTAAGCAGATACCACTTCCACAACTGAGCAGAGCAGCAATGAAAATGCAGTGGCAGAAATTTTTAAAAAGAAACCATGGATATGATTTTTCTTTTTTAATGCACACAAATTCATCAATGTGCTTTTTGCTTCCTGGGTAATTTTTGACCATTTAATTACACCACACATTAAACAGCAAGTAGAAAATGATATAGAACTACAAATTATCTAGACAATTATTACTGTTGCTTATTCTGGAGATTAGATTTCCCCCCCCCCTTTTTACAGAGTATGCTTTTGTAAGCTGTGAATTATTTTTGCTGCTATCATATAACAGAGGAGCAGATGATGGCATTGGTAACAGAACAGAAAACCTTATATAATATGACTGCCCATCTTTTAATTTTAAACAAAATCTATAATTTCCTGCTACATAAGTAGTAAATAAATTTTAAGTATATTAGAAATGCTCAACTACTTTACAGGTGTAGTTATTCACACACACAAACAATTATTTTATGCACATGTAATAATATATGGATATAATTTATTTCCTAATCTATCACTGAATATACAAGTATTGACTATGGTATTTTACAATATTTACAGTTGTCTTCTGTTTTTATACATACATTCAGCAACAACACAAAAGCTTTTCCACACTCCATCTGCTGCCTCACTCCATAATTTTGCACTTCAAATATTTGTAAATGTGTAAAGAAGGAGATTGTTTTTCCAAGTCAGCACAGAATATAGATGAAGAATCTTCTTTGGATGAAATCTTAGTGAAATGGAGGACTTCAACAGATGAGGGTTACAACCTCCACTAACACTCAGAGGTAGCTTTGATCAGTCTTGTTACTGCAGCTAGCTTGAAAATCATTTTTTTATCACTGAGAATGATATGTTGGAAATAACTGTATGGGGGGGGGAGAGAGAATCTGCACAACTAAACACATATAGATAAAAATGAACTATTTCAAGTCCTATGCAAATGCATTGGATATATACCTTATTTTTCTGTGTATAAGATGCCCCCTACTTTGGGGGACTCCAATTTAAGAAAATGGGATGAGTTGGCCCAGAGTTTTTTGGGGAGGATTGCCAAAGTTGTTGAGCCACGAAAATCACTCACCCGACGCTGAAATCTCATGCGTCACAGAAGAAAACAAGCGTCAGCCCACTCGCCACCAGCAGACACCAATTGCACGCCCAGTTGCCACAGCAGCAGCCAATCCACAGCAGCCCTTGTCGCAGCCACCAATCAGCCACCCAATTGCCACAGCAAATCCTAAGCAGCCTTTGCAGCAGCCACTAATCACCCACCCAATCGCTGCTGACAAGTTCCTGCTCACAGCTGCAACCAATTGCCCGTCCTGCATATGCACTATCCGTGTATAAGACGCCCCCCCCCCGATTTTTAACATTCTTTTAGAGTAAAAAAACCTCGTCTTATACACGGAAAAGTATGGTACTTCTGAATGATAATCTCCACTGGATTCCCTTTTCCCATACCTCTGATCCTTTTAGGGAGTGGAGTAGGGGGCAGATGGGCTTACTATGGCTTTGAGCCACTGCGGTTCGAGTCTGAATTAAGGTAAGGCTGTCTAATCTCAGAATCATGTTTCTCAGTACCGTAGATGATGAGTGCAAAGTTCCCATTTGGTCAGACTCTCTTTTGAAGTTATTTGTGCAATGGGATTTTGCCACGGGAGCAAATCGTTCTGATGGATACTATATGCAGGCACTTGCCTTGGGGCAGGCGGGCAAGAGAGAGCACCAGTCTCCTCCATATCCCCACCACACTTATAGCACAGCCACCCAGTGGCACTGGTTTGGGGTTGCTACACGGCAGGGGGCCCTGTCACGGCAGTGGTGCAGTTTCAGCTTCCAGAAGTTCCAACTGAAAGGAAAGAAATACAGTGAGAGAGAAAAGAAATGAGCTAATTTCTCCACCCTCCTGCTTGCAAATGATGCTGGGCGAATTTGCTCAGCACGAGCCATTCCTTTCTCAGGGGACAAATCAGAGTGGAGTCATTTTGAGGTGGCAGGAATACCCTTTCACATGACAACATGGAACAACGAAGTCTGAGGAACCCAGGCTGGTTCCAGTGTAAACCTTGATGCTTCAACTCTGCAATACATGCAATGTATCCGATACATCACTAATGTATTTTCTTAGAATAAGTAACCCAATCCGAGGCAATAGATAGCTTGGTAGGAGACCCAAGCTTCAAATTCCATTCACTCCCCTGGTAGTCATGGAGAAGCCATCATCTTGCAGCCTCAGTTACTCCTGTGTAAATGGTAATCAGCCTGCCTCTCTGGACTCCTTTTGATACTGGATGAGCTAAAAATTGCACAACAGTATATGAGTGTAAAATACAGAACTGCAGGATGGAAAATAGAAGCAGTGGACATGGACACTTCTCCTGACTGGGGTGGGGCTGCTTCTCAGTGGTGAGGCATCAGCTTTGCATGCAGAAGGTCACAGGTTTAAGCCCTAACATCTCTAGGTAGGGCTGGGAGAGCCTTTTCTGATATCTTGGAAAGTGGTGACAGTCAGCATGGACAATATTCAGTTGGATGGACACAAGTGGCCTGACTCATTCTAAGGCAGCATCCCATGTTGCACTTCCCTCAAAAGACTCTACTGCCCCATAGGCTTGGAACTGTCTCTCAGATCAGCTGGGTGATGCCATTTCTCTCTCTTACCTCAAAACCTTTCTAAAAGCCCATCTGGTTGGAAGTGACCTATTATCCCAGAAAGGAGATGGTCAGTTGCAAGATTAAAGGAGAAAATATCTGAAGGTGCACACAAAGAAACATATTTGCTTTTCAGGTTTCAAGTTAATAACCACCAACAGAACCACAATGTTTACGAAGTTGTCAAAATGGATCTGCTTCTTAAATTCAAAATGTGGATCCCTTTTAAATGTTGGGATTCCCACCCCACTCCAACACACACTGTGCATCCCCCACAACTTCTCACTAGGGATGGAAGGAGCTGTCAGTTTTTGTTCTTAATTTCCAATCCTAAATTCAGTTCTCCACATTTCTGCAGCAATTTGTGAGTTTTGTTTTTTTAAAGTTTCAGTTCTCATATTGTTTCAGAAAGTGTGGATTTGTTTTTCAGTGTGAACTGAATCAAATTCTGCCACCATTCCTCCTTCTCACCCATGCAAACCTCCCCTCTCCCCAGTTGCCAACATTTCACACTCCACAAGTTGTTTCTAACATTATCTTCGCTTTCTCTAGCAACATGCCAACATGAGAGTGATTTGTGGGAAAAGTTCATTTGTAGATCCATTTGGACTTTGAAACTGAGATGGCAGTTCCCTTTGTGACAAGCTTTTGGTCAACTGTCCAGTGTCTGCCTTGTGGGTTCATGTTACCAAACTTGTAGTTGAGAAATTCAGAAATTCTTAATAATGAAATATTCTACCCAGAGGATTGGGGCATGCTGGGCAGAGCTTCATCTTGATATCTTCACCGAGTTGAACAAAGTTTCATTAACCTACACCAATTGAAGATTTGGAGCTACACAACCCAGACTATATAGAATATAAAAATACAACACACACTATGTTACATAACATATCAAACACAGAGTACAATTGTTCCTTTGCTTCAATGGGTCCTTTGTAGACTGCATTAATAGATGCTCTCTTTTCTGTAGCCATTGATGAAAAACTATTGTTTGAAACCTGACCCTATTTTTGAATGTAATGTTATTTACAGTAATGTCTTAAACAACAATCCTATCCTCAGGCCACTAAAATCCAGTTGATTTCAGTAGTATTTAAGCATTTTTTGTTTCTGACTGCAGACTCACATTGCTACTACTAAGTAAAAACACCCCCATCACTTTTAAGGTTTTATTTTTAAAGTTGAAATGCTGGGAAAACAAACAAATTCAACAAAAATACGAGGTAGTTCTCATTTCCTCCTTCACCTGCTAGAGGGCCATGGAACAGTTTTGAAAATGAGTCATATAAATAAGAGGTATAGCAAGCTGAAAGGAAATGATCCCAGAATGTCCCTACACAGTGGGTTCCTTTTAAATCTTGGAGCATTCTGAAGAGCTGCAGTCCTATGAGCGTGTGTGCCATTCACAAGATTTAGCATGCATCTGTAGCTTTGGGAAGCAGTACGGTCTGTTTCAGAGCTGTTCTGTATCTTTCCAATTCAACTCATTAATTGGGACCAAATTCCATCTGCTAACAATAAAGCTTCCCTGGCCCCACTTTCACTATAATGGGGAATCTGAAAATAGTGATTCTTTTCTTTTCACAGAACTAGATGAAATTTGCAGGAATAGCAGCCCTGTCCCCCCATTGAATCACACCTGCCAAATTGTAGGCAGATATATCCAGGGGGTTTGCATGCAGGGTACCTTTGAAATTTGACATTAAAAAATAAAAAGAAAATCTTTTTCATTTTGTTCCAGAATTGGATAGAATTTGCAGGTATTATCACCTCCTCTGATGGGGTGCAGCCTGCACATTTCAGAATTATAGTTGCAGTGTTCTCCCAAACACCTGAAACTAGGCTGCTGCGCTCAGGTGCAGTGAAGGACACTATCCCATTGCCAGTATTGAAATCACAACTGGCTGTCAGACCAGTCAGTTTCTGTACATGGAATTGGGGGTTGTTACCATCCCACCACTTGCCTCAGATACTAAAATACCTTGGGCAAAATCTCCCGGCTAAAATAAATACTGGAAAGGATGCATATGTGGCATTTTTGGACTGCCGCAGTAGGACACGGGCCTTGAACCTGAATCTCAGAACTACTTCAAATGAAGAATGCAATGAGAAATGGAAAGCTGGAGAGCTGAATTAGAGTAGTGGGAGGACTCAGTTTAATTCCTTGTTCAGCCATGAAACTCATGGAGTCACCTTGGACTGGTCCCCTATCATGCCATCCAGCCAAACCTACCTTACTTGTTGTGGTGAGGATTAAATTGCAGCAGGGGAGGGGAGAACCACACATACTCACCTGAACTCTGTGGTTATGAATGCTATAGATAAGAATGTAATTTTACAATATAGACAAGTGCCCACAGGTCGCCATTTCAAGGCAAGGTTCAACAAACCACACAGGCAAAGTGGGAGGACTTCATAAATATTCCTAGATTTTTCACCTAAGTGGGTCTTTTCTTAGAAACAGGCACATAAATTCCTTTAATGTGCCAATTTTAGAGTACTTCTGTTAGACAAGGGCACTCAAAGTTCCTGTTGAAACATTAAGGCATTTAGGAGGCCTCCGTAAGTTTACCATATCTCCATACCAATATTAGTAGTGTGAGGCCTTTTCCCACCCTCCGAGTCATCGAATTTCAGATCAGCCACAATGCTCCTCTCAAGATAATGAAGTAACACTTGTAAATGATCTTGATATCTTTGCTTGCTACTTAGAGTTGGTAACTAGACTTCAGGTAAATTCTGAGCAGGCCTTGGTCGGAGAGACTTGACACCTTTAGATCTGGGGACCCAAACCAGCTTGCAAAAGGAGCATCTATTCCCTTCTCCTGCTGCTCTTCACCAACAGCAACCTTGTTAACTGTCTGATCAGCTGTCCCTTATTTCTGCAATGATTTCTCCACCACCATTGCAAATGCCCACCATGCATGCACAATGAAAATCTGTCATGGAGCCCCAGAAATGTGGTCTGTGGTGGAGGACAAAGGGGAGGAATTACTAAGAAGAGGAAGAGAGTCACCATGGAGGATAAAGAAAACATATGGGCCAGACTTGGAGAAAGGGCTGTTTGAACAATTCTGAAAGTAGGGGGATCTGTGTATCACATGAGTGGTTGATAGCTGTGGTGGTCATCAACCCTGGCAGTTACTCTTTACAAAATGAAGGTGAAACAAACCTATACTTTGGGTAGTTCACAGGGCTGGGATTTTGGGGCAAGTACTGTTGGGCACCGGCAGATGCTGGACACTAGTCCTCTATCCTGGACCTGCTGCCCCCTCTCCATGGTGTTGCTCCCTCTTCACTTGTCCCCTCTAAGTTTATGAGCAGTGGCAGGAGCAAAGAGAAGAAAGAACATCCTTCAAGTGCCTTTTCCTTCCCTCTGAACATTTGTGTGGATTGTGCCCAAGGAGCACAACAGAGGGCATCTTTCCCAAGAACACCCTTCCTCAACACACACACACACACACACACATGCCCCTGGAATGAACACCGGGAATACCTCTACTGAATAAATTGTGAATACTCAACAGAAGATTGGGGGCTTGTTGTGAGTTCAGCCCAACTGAGCTTGCTCACAAAAGCACCTCCCCATTGTGAATTTCCATATGACCCATTGCAAAATAGATAGCTATTTCAAGGTGAGATCACAACCAAACAATTCTATGGGTTACTTGTTCACAAAAGCCATGGTAGGAAAATGGATCATCAGGGTCTGCTCATGTAGTATGAATCATGGTGATGCAGACATGTCTAAAAGCATTGACTGAAAGTCTATTGCTTGCCAGTCAGAAGTCTAAAGAAGGAGGACTATCAAGGGCCCTGTGGGCTGGCAGTAAGGCCAGGTGCTAGAAGGGCTGATAGACCTTAGTTATATTGATTCTGACTGGGTACAAGGCAGTTCTTAAAATATATACAGTTCTAGAATGTTAAGCAATAGCAAACATTCTGTTGCTTCAAAAACTATGAAAGCATCTCCTCCTTTCTCAGCTATGGAATAAATATCACAATGATACACAGACAAGGGCCTGGCCATGCAAGGTACATCTGGGAGCTCTCTAGTTTCCCAAAACCCAATTGGGTCTGATGATGTCTGGATTCATCATTCCATGTTTCCCCAGCTAGGGAAGATAAATCAAAAAGAGTGGCACATCTTCCAGAAGCTACACATCAGTAAAGACTGTAATTTCAGAATTCATGTCATCTCCAGGAGGGATTCCCGAATCCAGAGATGACATCTCCACTGCTAGTCATACCTGCTGGTTAGTCCTATCCACCGTGTTGGCGGTGGAGGCATGCTCGCGAGTGTTTTGTCGGACGTGGGTGGAGTTTTGTTGCTCCATGGTTGAAGCTGTTGGGATGCAGAACTCTCTGAAACACCTTTTGAAGTTCTCATCTAGAAAGGCATAAAGGACGGGATTAAGGCAGCTGTTTGTGTACCCTAAAGCAATACAGAAGTGCCAGGAGACGGTCTGGAAAGTAGTTTCTGGGATATGGATCAAGGCTTTAATGATAACGTAAATATGGATGGGGGTCCAGCAGACGATGAAGACAGCCACAACCACGAGGACCATCCTGGTGATCCTTCTAAGATTCCTGTCCTTCTCCTTGGAGCCAGAGAGCATTCGGACACTCTTCAGGCGTAAAATCATGAGCCCATAGCATACCGTGATAATTAGGACAGGCATGATGAAGGCAAAGATGAAAACACAGATTTTCAGCAAGTTCTCCCAATACCATGCTGGGTGAGAGAATATAAGTGTGCAATCAACAGATCCTAGGAGGAAAAGAAAAAGAAAGAAATGAGGTTTGAGAGAATTATTTATTTACATTTAATCCTGTTCTTCCTCTTGCCCCCTCCATCCAAGGCCATAACTATATTCTACTGTGGTGCGAGCCTGTAAGAAAACTCACTGACTTTTAGTGTGATGTTTACAACATAGAATTTTTTGGGAGGGGGGAGATTCAGTGTTCAAAAGGTCAATAGGGGCAGGGCCACACATACAAGTCCCACTCCAAATGTCCCTAGGTATGTCTGCCTGTTCAGTTCCTGAACTTCTCATGTTGACTGGGAGTTGTCTGCAGAAGTTTTATTCATGTTTGCTTGAAAATGAGCAGAACCCTCTGCATAATCAGGGACCTTGATAAAGTGCTTCTGTGCAAGGAAAATATCCCTGAATAGAGTCTTGTTGGCTTAAATTAGCCTATTTTCCATATAAAAGCATTTCTCCAAAAAGAGAAAATAGGTAAGATTCACATAACTAGGCTTCCTTAAGCTGACCAGCAATAGTTTTGGGCAAAAAGCATCGTTTTGACTGTTAGATAGCTTAGTGGAATTCATAGCTATCTCCTTCCTTCCTTCCTTCCTTCCTTCCTTCCTTCCTTCCTTCCAGTTAGGAGCAAAAGAAAGTTGGAGATAATTTACTATTTAATAACAAAAAGTGTCATTCACTGCTATTAGAAAATATCATGTTAAATATCTTGTTTTTTCATTCCCTGTTATAAGTATCTATCTAATTCTAAAATAATCTAAATATAAAAGTGTGCCTTTAAATCACAGTGCCACCACTTAAACTGGGTCTCCATCACTAAATGAACCACAACTTATATACATTAACTTGGGAGCAAGTCCCACTGGAATGGTCCGGCTTACTTTATAATAGACAAGATATAATCCCATTCTTAGCTGATTAGTTTATTGATTAACAGCAAAACCTTATATGTACTTATGTAGATATAATTCCCACTGTCTTCTAAGCGGATTACTCCCAGGAAAGTGGGTGCAGGATTGTATCCTAAACTGCTTAGTTTCTATGGATTACATAAAGAGAGATAGATGTAGCCAAAAAATAAAAATAAAATGTAGATGCACTACTTCTAAATGAGGCTCCCTTTATGCAACCATAATGTTCTTTGCAGCTTCTAGAAATTCTTCTTTCTACCCACATAATCACAGCTTGATGGAAGTGTGTGAAGAACCAACAAACCTTCAACAACTCTATTTTGCATTGTACTTGTGGCCTGGCTTGTTCTTTGCCAGTGTGTCAGCCTCTGTTTTTAGGTAAACATTATTTCTCATTAGGTATTAAAATATCCCATTTTGATGCATTCCCAGTAATCACTGTGACTCATGTTTTATGTATGTGTATACCAAATTTCGTACTTCTGGGTGTTCTGGAAGTACCTTAATGTTTAGAAGGGTATCATTCCTCTCTTTCTCGATATTAATTTGCAAATGTCCTCCCTTTAAGATCCACTTCCCATTTCCATAATCAGTGTGTCTCAATGTGTGAACCAAATGTCAGAGTTCTCACTAGGGTGGAAGTATCACCATTTGGGGGTGGATGCCTTTTGAGTCCCCCATTTGAGTGAGTGTGAGGTATAGAAAAGTCCCTTTTTCATTGTAAATTACATGTACTACTGAATTTTCTGACTTTTACTGGAACTGGAATTTAACCTAGAAATTTGATTTCTGCATGAGTTTTTCTCTCTCCTTCATTCCCTGCCTTCCTGTCACTGCTGAAATAACTGAGCATCTGGAAATGGCGTGTGAAATCCTTACTCACCATTGCTCTCTTTGGTGGTTGCCATCACCATAACTGGGATGCCGATGGCTGAAGAAACAATCCAATTACAGACGTTGACAATTTTGGCATTTCTGGGGGTGCGGAAATCCAGAGCCTTGACTGGGTGGCAAACTGCTATGTAGCGATCCACACTCATCGTGCAGAGAGTGAAAATACTTGTGAACATGTTGTAGTAATCTATGGAGATAACAATCTTACAAATGGCGGTACCAAACGGCCATGTTCCCAGGAGGTAATTCACACTTTGGAATGGCAGCGTACTTGTTGCCAAGGCATCCGCCAGGGCAAGGTTGAAAATATAGATGTTGGTAGCAGTCTTCATTTTGGTATATCTAAGAAAGTCAACAAAGCAGAGGAATGAAAAGCTATAACAAGATCAAACACAATTATAACCAGACTAATGTCTGATTTGAGGACTAGGGATTAAGAATAACGTATTTTTGTGCCTTGGTCCAGCAACATGGTACAGAAAGAATTTTCGGGGGGGGGGGGGGACTCAGTATCAAGTTTATCTGTAGATATTTTATCTCTAATTCCTATTTTTCTCCTTGATCTTGATGAGAAGCGTGCTGTTTCCCTCCACCTGTTCTAGTAGTAGAAATATAAACATTTCTCACATATTAAACACATAATTAGATAAATAATTTTATGCACATATTTTGTACCTATACATTCTGGGTTTCGTACAGGAACAAGCACATAAACAGATACATGCAATAATTCTATATAACTGTATATAAATACTTATTTATTAATACTTATAAAACAATGTTCTTACAGAGAGGAGAGCGGAACTCTCCACCATGCCATTGGAAAGCTATTCTAGGCAGGGTGAGAATGCCCTTCCTGTATTGGAGTTTTGCTCTGTCCTGTTCTTCTTGTGGGCCACTTAATTGAGGTGGTGAGCAAGGTGGCTATTTCACAGCATCTTACCCAGTGAGAACCAAAGTGGTTTTATATCTCTTCTATGGACACAGCCCCAAAGCTCTGCTTCACTCATTGTAGCTGGGGTGCTCTTAAGTATCAATGGCATAAACTCCTGTTTGTGTCACAACAGCTAAGCAGTCCCATAGGACAAGGCTGCCCGTTCCACTGAACAGAATTCAACTGAGGTACTTGGGTTTAACTGCCCTGTATGCTGCCAAAGAGCAACAAATAAATGTCTACCACAAAGTGTCATTGAACCCAACTCAAAGGGCAAAGGGGTCTGCAAGAAAGGCACGTGATGCCTGCGTTTTGAGATATCTAAGAGAGATCAAGAGCAGGAAGGCATGGCTTAAGCAGAGATGTACTCTGGCTGGTTGCATAAATTCACTTTATGTGCTTCCTGTCCTGCACCTCGCAATAGTCACGTGAATTTTGCACAGCTTTAGCATCCACACAGGGCTCTTTATATGTAAAGAGACTGAAAAATAAAATGAGCATTAAAGAAAATGCACTAACTCATAACATGGTTAGCACAACCCTTGTCCAGAGCCTTTATCAATAGCCTTAAAGGATGGGGGGGGGGGTGTCTCACTGAGGACATTCCCCTTCTCAAACCTGAGATCAGTATGAAGATAGTAGGGCTGTGTGAGCATAAGGACAGTTCTTTTTCAAGCTAGGGCTCTGATGCTGACTCAATCCCATCTGAATCCCATTTTTGAAAGAAAGCCCTTTCTCTATCTCCCTAAATTTATGGTGCCTTTTTGCATATGTGCTCCTGCTGTGGCAGAGTATCCTGGAGCTTATTCCTTTAAGTTACGAGAATTAAATTATAGGTTGCCCCACTTGACTATGCTACCTGCCTGATATTCAAAGGCTGCAATCCTATCCCCGTGACTAGTTATTTGCTAAGCCAAACAGGCCAGACTCTGTTACTCCTGACTTATACTGTATGTACACACGATTCATAAACCAACCTGAATTCATAAACTGTGCTAATGATATTCCTGAGGAAAAGAAGCAGGCGTACCAATGATTCTCTGGAAAGGTCTCTTCTATCTGATGCTGCAGTACTGGTACCCATTATAAATTGCTGCCCTGGGCAACAATCTATGTAGCTATTGGGAAATCTGGTTAAGAAATATGTGCTGTCCAGCTACTCAAATAGTATCATTTACATTTTTATTAACCTCCTTCTTCATTTTCTCCCTATTACATTTTATATTCTTAGGTTAGGCCATGTTGCATTTTGTCCTATCTTTATGATGAAGTTGTCTCATTTTTCCACACCTATAAAGAATAGCATATTTTTCCATTTAAGAAAGATGATTTCCTGTTTACGAGGGCAGTGTTTACATTGCTCCTTTATTGTTACCGAGTGAGAATAGGACAGATAAGGAGCCATATTCAAGATGGAATATGTAATACCCACCTCCAGAGTTTTTCTATGATTAAAATTATTTTCGCTTTGACACTTTCTCATAATTTTGTTTCATGATTTTTATTACATATTTATGACAGGAGCCAAAGCTAAATGAAAAAAGAGGCGATACCAAGCATTTTATTTGTATTTCTTTATTGCAATCCTAGCAGTACAACTCGAGATACTTGGCAGAAGATCTATTATTTTCCTTCCAATATAAACTCATAAGATGCTCCCAATTCTCTTTTATTTGCCTTCCCCAGATGGCTGCTAATATCTTTTCCAAATGAAATTTCTCTTAAGCAACGTTAACATTCAGGTACATAAGCAACGCCAGCAAATGGCTGTGCTAAGGCTTTTGACCATTAAGGGCAGAATTACACTTAGTAGGGCTTGGAAGCCAGGATGGATTGAGAAGTCCTGCTGCAACTGAAACCTTTAAGAGATGTCACTAGTCAATGTAGACAGTCAGGATGAGGCAGGAGATGGCTTGATTTACTGGCTACAGTATGGTCTGTGTTTGTATTCCATGCAAAAAATCAATCTGCAACAATATCTGTATAAATGATGCACACTAGTTTATATTTTCTTATTTTGTATCATCTTTTTTGCTTCTTCTACCAATTTTGAGGGGCAAAGATCTAGACAGGCATTGAAGGCTCACCCTTAGCTACTAAAAGTGTTGCTTCATCCCTTCCAACTTCCGAGACTGACAGCACAATTCTCTTCATGCTATTTAGAAGGAAGCCCCACTGAATTAAATGGGGTGCCTCACAGGTGTGAGTATAGAATGGAATTGCCCACTCGGTTTCTCACTGTGCAGCTCAGAAGGCTTAAACATTACATTTTAAAAGGGAGGGAGGGAGTAGTAGTAGTAATAGTAGTAAATTGTTGTTGTTGTTGTTGTTGTTGTTGTTGTTGTTATCTGCCTGGGTTTCCTCAGCCACTCTTCTAACTCTAGAAGGGAAGCCAGATCTTGGACATTATTTGGCACTGAACCCGAACTTCTTGAATTTTTAATATTGTCACCTTTTTTGCATTTGAAAATGTTGCATGCTGTGGAATCTCTGCATGTTTACCTGTGAAAGGTGTGCAAAACGCTACCCTACTCCACTTCTTTCCATCTCGTTGCTGTAGCTCTGACCTTGGTCATTGGGCAGCTGATCATATGAGACAAAGAGTGCCTTTTGGTTTGGGTATCAATTATAACAAGACATCAAGGAGCACCTGTCCCAGTTTTGCAAAACTAGTGCCTAGAATAGTGCTTCCCAAACTCGGGTCTCCAGCTGTTTTTGGACTACAGTTCCCAACATCCCTGACCACTGGTCTTGCTAGCTAGGGATGATGGGAGTTGTAGTCCAAAACCAGCTGGAGACTCAAGTTTGGGAAACACTGGCCTACAAGCTGTGGGATAAGGTTAAAAAAGTTGAATCCTGACAAGAAAGACACGATGCTATCAAGAGCAAGATCCTAGGCTCTTGAGTGAGGGTTACATTTGTAATAGGAAGGATGGTAATCATCCTTTGCAGACATAGTGCTCAATCAGAGCTGATTGCTATAACAACAACAACAACAACAACAACAACAATTAATAATAATAATTTATTTCTCCCCTGGTTTCCCCAGCCACTCTGTTCTGATCTTTTGTTCTGATCTATTGCTGAAGAGTGGGCTTTCCCTTGGGAAGGAGTGGGGGGAAAGGGGAAAACCACTCGGACCCATGCTTTCTAGGCATGGCAAATGGAATTGTCAGTGAGCCATGAGATTGACTGCTTCAAAATATGCTTTACATGTGCTGTCCTTGAAGACACATTGGAAGTAGTTTTGGCTTGCCTCCTGAAAAATATTAAGTGGTGACAACATATTTAGCCAATTCTGCGCCAAGCTGAATTGGCTACCTTGAAAGCACTTCTTGGCCTGGGCTGGAAGTGACAAACCAGAGAGTCTTTAATTTCCTGAATGAGCCCCTGCATTGACTGATTATGGACTGCATTTCAAGCCTTCCCTATAGAGCCTCACTGTATGAGTTAAAACATCCCTGCATAGACTAGAGCCTTTGCCACAATAGCTTAGAATTACCTCCCCAAGGAGGTCAGAATCCACTCTTCCCTCACAGCTGTCTTGGAGAGACTGCAAAATCAGGGAGGTTTTTTGGCTGCTGCAGCAATTGGTAGGTTGCCCAGATTTCAGCTCACAATCATTGAGTTTTGATTTGTATTTTACTTTGCGTGTTTTGTGCTTAATTATTGTTTTAAAAATGCTTTCTTACACTTTCTTTGAGCTGTGTGAAAGTGCTATACAAATATTTTAAATAAACTGACAATTCATTTTCTACCTTAGCAGCAGACTAAGAAAACCAAATATTTCATCTGAAAGAAAATCACTCAGAGATGTTATTTTTAACTATACATGTTTTAAATGGTGCTTTTAGCAAACTTTACTGAAGACAATATGACTGATTACATCCATAGCAACTAATGCAACATTCCAGTGATTCTCAGTACGCAGCACTGCCTGGTCCACTTCATATGTGTAAAAAGGCTGCTATCATTTTGACTGAAAGCTCCATCCTAAAAATACTCATTGGAAACAGACTGCGTAGCCCCCCATGCAGCTGTTCAAACACTTTGATTCTACTTCTGTTTAGATCTAGCTCATGGCCTCTCTTCCTTGACCCTCCCATACAGCAAACAGGTTTATGGGGCAGGGGCGTACACTTGGCATTAATGACAGCTTCCCTCCAAAGCCTAGATAAATGTTTATTACAATGAAAAAAACCGCAATCCCTGGCCACCTCACCGTGCTAAAGTAAGCTCAAAAATGCACCCCATCCAATTTCTAAAGCATTTCTAATGTGCCTTGAAGATGGGGCATTAAAACCGAAGCCTCCTTTTCAGAGGAAGAAAGCTTCTGGGAAACCGAAGGACAATTTTTTGGCACCAACACTAGACATGACAGGAGAGCATGCAAATCAT